GCAGATACCAACGACATGCTACAGTCTTCTGGCTTGCCGGGAAAAAAGAAGTAAAAAAAAAACGGGCTGACGCCGCGCCACACCCACCTCCCTTGACATGCCGCATAATCCGCAGCGAGTAGGAGTATAGTCACTCCCAAGTATTCACGAGCGTATGTGCACAGCATTCGTACCGGGACCCAATAAATCCAAGGGAGAAGTGGTGCGTTGCGTCAAGTCAACTAACAATATACTCTGGTAGTCTGCGCGCGGAACCATCGACAAGCGTTCCGAAAACCCTGGATTTTTTTAACAAGGAATATTTTTCGATACGTTTCTGTTCTCTCTTCAGCTAGTACTTCTCATTTCAAAATATTTTTCCATTTTTTGATGTGCAGTCGCCATGCAGTATTAACTGTGCCTACTAATATTCGAACCCTTCGTGCTTTCGTGTTCTTGGAGAGATGGGAAACGCTCATTCAGAAGTTTCCGCAGGCTTAGCATGTTCTGGAACAACTTCGCGGGAATTCAAGAGCCTATAGGGGAACATGAAAGGCCCAGTCCACGATGATCATAAGGGAGGGTACACAAAACCGCCGCGCCTTCCTCGTTGCTGCGTCCTCCCGAATACGGTAAAGAAGATCGGAGTGTCCAGCCCCCTAGATGAGCGTGTAATGTGCCTTTAACTACACAGCATTGATCAGTCGCCTTTTTGGGATCCAGCACGCAATTGACTTTCATAAATGATTGCAGTAACATTTGAGAGAACATTTTGCCTACCCAGCGAATTACGGCGGCCGGCCGATTTGAAGTCAGTGATTTTATTCTCCCCAATGATTCTGGTACCATGTGTTGTGGTAATGATGGAAAGCCGTATGCGATTCTTCGATTTTCGGTTTTATTTGAACAGCTGCCTTTCGCAGATGCAGTGTTCTACTATTATACGAATATGCTCTTCAATTTTCAGTACCGTATTCACTGTATTGTAAAAGGATAAGGATAAAGTCTTCGCCGTTGATCAATCCCTGTTGGGATGCGGCACGCATTCTACTTCCATTCAGAATCGTAGTGGCTGATTGAATGCGATGTACCTATACAGTGACTTGCGGGGGCATGTCAAGGTACGAATTAGTGTTCTTATCCTCCCAGACGAATCTGGTACCAATTTACCGTCCCCGGAGGGTAGAAGGCTTGGTTGGCCTGGGCGGGAGTCGACCCGGGATTTAACCTCCGGGCCACATGTCTGGTAAACCACTTCTCACTACATCCTCTACGCCTCAAAAACATTATACCGGAATGGTCTCTTCTAGGCGAAAAGTTCTCAGTAAGATATGGAACATCTGAGTTCGGGAATGTCCATCTCTTCAGGGTACAACATTGGGATGAGGGCCTCCCCAGAATTTTCCCTCCCAGTACAACCTCCCCTGCCCCATACCCACTGCTTCACACCAACTCTCTGCCAATTTCAGTTCCCCGAGTTTTTCCAGTTTTTCTGAAAGAGCGGCGTTGAGCGGAGGGGAAGGGGATGTCGTCACCAAGTAACAATCAAAATTAACTATGAGTAGTAGCAGCTGCATAAGTAGTTCATCGGCGCCGATAAATGGGGAGTCTCGCGCGTGTGAAACAGGAAAAGTCGCGAACAATCAACAGCTGGAAATGTTTTGCCGCGGCTTGGAAGATTTCTCTCAAATCCAGCTACAACACACCGACCAAATACGACCCGCCAGCGTCAAGTACGACCCCAACGGGATTCTCGAACAATGGTGTACCCTGCTCCAGAAGCTGCAGTATTTCCCAGACTCCCCCCCCAGCTCAACAGCTAATATGTATCAAAACCGTTATCGCCAAGTTTCATGTTAGACCTTTTGGATGCTGTTGCTACATCAGCTGTGCTCTAGTCAGTTATTACCCTGCCTAATGCACTTTCGCTGCTGAAACCGCGTTCGCTAACCACAGCCGTTTTTCGGAGAACTCATTCGCCATCGTTCCCGAAGAAACTCGTGTTTGCACTTTGGTATGGTGTGAGAGTAACATTCTTTCTATTAGGTTGTTCGAAAAGTCCTGCGACACTTTGATTAAATTGTTCTAGAAAAAGACCAAAAATCATTTTGGATGTTTTTATCCCTGATTAGTGGAGACTGTCCTCTGGGGTTTCTGCACATGGGTATATCATGACTTTGAGGAAGTTTTCAAAGCTTAAAAGTCCCCCAGAGATCGAGGTACTTCTCGACCTGTCCCATATTATGAGTTCCTGTAGGGCCACTCCTTACGTTTTGTCCCGCTGAGGAAGGATATCGCTTGCCATAGCAGAGAGTTCCTTTTGCATCAGCGCTTCCAGGCTGGACTTATTCAACTCGGAAGTAGGCAATGTATAGGTCGGCCACCAGCACAGAATGACGGCCCTTTACTCAAGCTTCTTGAGGCGCAGCCGAACGTAACCACCAGTAAGTTGGCAACCTCTCTAGGCTCCACCTAACTGACAACTGCCATGCTTCTCCGCAGTCTCGGTTATCGGAAAATTTTTTTATGAAGGATGCCTCATGAGTTGAACCCCTCTGACAAGTCATACCGAATGACCGTGACTGAGTTTTTTTTTTCCTTGTACACACTGGAGGAACATTTGTGAGATCTTGTGGTTGGTAGAGAGTGGTGGGGTCCTTGCGTACATCTTGCACATGTTCCTCGCAGGATCTCTCAAAGAGAAAAGTAGATTGCACAGCCAAAAGCAGATGTGCATGGGATAAAGATTTCAGTAGGTTATTGGTGGGACTTCAAAGCGGTATCTCTGGATACTAGCATAACGGTAAGGACTACAGTCCACTCTAACCAACCTCACAACATGGATGACGTCACGCTTGAATTCTTCAAAAATACTCAATTTTTCTCTACCGCTCGGCAATGCGAAGACCGCATGTTAGGATCAGGCCACACCAAAAGATCGTGGATCTTGATCTGAGAATGCGACCATACCCAGCTTATTCATCAAAGTTAGCAGTCTCTAACTACTACCTTTTTTGATCCCTACCGCATCCTTAAGAAGGCAAAAATTCCGAAAATCGACGTCTACTCAAAAATGAGGTCCACCTCTTCTTATCATAGTTGCCGTAGTTCTATAAGAATGGAAATGAGAAGCTGTGCAAAAGAAGGGCACTAGTCCTAGTCCTTAGTGGTGATTACCTTGTAGATTGGAGATGTCTTTTAGTGACTGAAAATTTAGTCCGAAAAATTGGTCAAAGTGTCGCAGGACTTTTCGAACAACCTAATACTTCAATTACTTTGGCCGTTTCAAAGTGGAATATTCGAACTTGAAAAGAATGCAAGTCTCCATTACCAGTTGCACTTGTATCCAATTACTGCACCCTAGAAAATGGCCCTGGAACTGCTCCGAAGTTCAAAAACCACCTCCTCAGAGAGAGGAATACTAGCGGTTTGTTCTGAACTGAACTTCTTTGGCACAGTTCGACGCGGGGGGGGCATTTTGCACTTTCGCTACCTCCGTTGTCGTGCGAACCATCAAAATGAAATCTGCGGTTGTGAAGCCATGAAGTGATACAACTGAGAGTTTGTAAAAACTACTTGTCAGCTCTTGTCAAGAATACACGTTAACTCTTGTAAAGCGGTGGGAGGTAGCGAATGTGCAAAATGCACCCCCCCCTCCAAAGCCAAACAGCCCTTTCTTTCTATTTCTTGTTCCGATTCCAATCCCTTTTAGTAAATGATCAATTTATTCTCTACGGAAATATGTACATAAGAACAACAAACAATGGAAATATTAAAGAAAACAAAGCGGATGCAATTTGCGAATTCTCAGCCAAACCTCGACCAGGGGCGAGGTCAAAACACGGAACCACTCGGGTTGGTAAACAATCTGGCACAAATTAGATTGGCAGGCGAACTATACACAGACCCCTGTCACTGTCCCTGATTCAGGCAACCGGATGGGGTGGTCCTACAAAAAAAGACCGGCGGAATGTGACGCGTAGGACGACATCGCTATAAGCGGACTGTATTGGTTAGCGATGCATTAAGGAGTAGATGATCTGATCCTCGTATGGGTAAGGGATGTCGTCGATAGTAATGGACCGCCGAAGCGATTGAACGGAAGCATGGACCCTCTCCGATCACCCATTTGTCGCCCCGTCGCTCGAGCTTGATGTGTAGGACTCCGGTAGCACCACGAAGCGACAGAGCTGCACTTCCCTCTCCTCGCGATCTGAATTAGGCATGTTCTCTTTATGGTATAATGGCTGAAGTGAGTCCTTACCTCAACAAAAAGTCGCCTAGCCCTCGACTTTCGAGAAGTTTTTCGGCTCCCACTCGATCGATGTTCCTCTCCAGAAGCATCTCCTCCTCATTTCGCGACTCAACCTTTCGTGGCCGCTCAACCCTCAATGAATGACGTTTCGATTCCAACGGCGAATTTCCAATGTGAACTAGGCGATTCGAGAAGGAAGGCGAGTGTGGGAGCGGAGAATCTGCAAAGTGAATTATTTATGTGGTGTCTGGTTTTCGTTGTGTGGCACGTGCGGAATAGAAACTACACTTTTTCGTCCTTTCCCTAAAATTTATTACAGATAGTTTCACTTATCAAAGTTCATTGAAAAACCTTCCTCAATCAAAATATTCCCCACAAGGCAGAAAAAGGATAAAGTCTTCGCCGTTGATCAATCCCTTTGTGGGATGCGGCACGCATTCTACTTCCATTCAGAATCGTAGTGGCTTATTGAATGCGATGTGGCCTATACAATGACTTGCGGTGGCCAGCCGATGTACAAGTCAGTGTTCTCATTCTCCAGACGAATTGGGGGGCGCTGTTTGGCGACGGGGGCATTTTGCACTTTTGCTACTTCCCATCGACGACCTATCTAGACAGCCTCTTCTCGAGTTGACAGGTTTTACCATGATGGCTTGACGAGCTTGCTCCAGCTTCACAAGAGTTCACAGGTTTCACCAGAGTTGTAAACCAGAACTAGTGAAGCAACGAAAGTGCAAAATGCCCCCTCCCCCGTGGCAAAACTGCCGCCGGACGGAACGAAGTAACAGTTTACCGCCCGCCACTTGCCACCAATACTACCTCGCCTATTTTCATGAAAATCTGACACAATGCTTCCTGTTTTCCCGATGCGTTGTGGTGCTTCTTGGGTGCGTCTGGTTATTGGACCTTGAACGGCCCAAGAAAGGATGCCGATAAGGCCGCTGAACCTAACGGGCTACCCCCGCCAGGTTGTGAAGAACTCTGTAAAAAAGTTCGGGCAGACTGAGACCTTCTAGGTGGTAGAGGACCACTTACTTAGCCTTGGCTTCTTCAAGCTTCTCAGCAGTTGGCCTGATCGGACAGTACCTCGCTCAATGGTTTGCAATGTTAATGGCCAGAAATACCTCTGTGAACCTCACCGAGGGGTTTGCAGATAAGCTGGCAAGCTTAGCTCTTATGGAAATCTGCTTGAAGGCTGTGCTATATGAGCTGCCGCTATCCAAAGAATTCAAATAAATCCATGACGGCAAACAGCAGACTAGAAATTATGCTGTTATTGTTTTTGCTGCTGATGCGGGGCGTGTCGGCTGGATTTGGCGTGGCGCCAGCTCGTTTTCCACCAGTCTTAGTCGTTTGTTCGCTTCAACAATAGGCGGAAAACGGGCCGGCGCCTAAACCAGCCCCCTGAAATGCCCCACTGTCTGCAGCGAAAACGACTGCAGAATCCTGGAAAGTCCGGAAAACTGTTCAATGGCACGCATTTGCCATAAATTGCACCCACTCTGTATAATAAACGGTCGGCAAAGTATTAATGTAGGAAGGGAACATTTAGAATTCAAAAACTTCTCCCTTTCACAGAAGCGGGCTGTTGCCCACCCTATTGAAAACCTTTCCTGTACCGTATCCGAATGTATGCAAATCATGTGTTTCATATAGTTCTGATGATAGCAGCCCTCGAATGGCTCCCTATAAACCTCGATCATGACATCTGCCAGCGAATTTCGGAGCTCTCTTGGCGATGAGGCAGAAAGAAGTGGATACGGTCAGCATGGTCCGGGGGGGGAGGGGTTAAACTCGCTCTAGCTCGCGAAGCCTTCCATTCTCAAGTTCGGTTTAGTGCTACCAGTCTCCTCTAGGAGAACTCCGAGAAGATCCACCAGCCCTCGCCTCTGGATCGTTATGAGGGGTAGAGCTGCCTTTCAACCGCATTACCCT